CGAAGAGCAGCCCGGGAGCCTTGGTCTCGTGGTCTGTTCTCTGTCAGCTTTGGATCCAACATGAGAGAGTTCCTCCTGCTAGAATACGCCTCAGGACTCTTTGCTCATCACAGGTAGGAAGGCCGCAGGGCTGAGAGGCAGTGGGGTGCCCTCCAGCAGGCGCTGCGCATGGCCGGGGTTCTCTCCTGTCTGGCTCTGTGAAGGCACCAGGTCTGGGGAGGAGCTGCCTTGGAAGCTAGTTCGAGCCCTAGGGCAGTTTCCGGGCCCTCATGTCTGTCCCCTTGGGCCCATGCAGCCTGTGGCAGCTGGGTGTGGACTACTGTGACCACTGCCCTGAGCTGGGCCGGGTCTCTCTCGAGCTGCATATTGAGCGGATCCCTTTGACCACGGAGCAGAAAGCCCTCAAGGTACTGCGGGTCTGCGAGCAGCGGCAGATGACGGAGCAAGGTGAGTGGGCTCTCCTCCCAGCCTTCAGAGTCTGGGCAGTAGCTACCAGGAGGTGAGCCCAAACGTCAGAAAATCCCTGGGGAGGGAGGAAGCACTGGGGCCCACTGGGACCCAGAAGCAGTCGAGCATGCTGCCTGTTACAAAGGTCCTGACCACTTATGTGCTCATGCCTTCAACCAGGGCTCAGGGTGGGCAGCTGTGGTTTGTCCTGTCCCAGAGGGCTTGCCAGTGCTGGCTTGGGCTGGCTGGGGAGACGCAGGACTGGAGGTGACTCAGGAAGAGCACGGAGAGGTGTTGATGAAGTTTGCCCCTTCTCTTCCCACTTCGCTGTCTAGTGGTACAGGCCTAAATCGTTATTCTTCCCAGAGGCACTGCGTGTTTATGACCATCCTGAAAGCATTTAGCACTCAGGACCCAAAGCCTGGTAGGATTTTCAGCATGTGGACAGATAATGACACGCTGGTCTCTGGGGAGCCTTGCCAATATTCTTGCCACCCCTAAAGTGAAACCTGCTCACAAAGCCAAAGCCTACCAGGGTGGGTCGTACTGTTAACGAGGCCAGAAGACAATTTATAAACCTCACAGTTCTGGTTCTGCTGCCCGGCTGTACTTGGAGCCCACAGAGAGGCCACCTAAAACTCAGAGGTGGTGGGAAGGCTGCTCCTGTCTCAGCAGGGTTTGGGAGTGGAGTGATTTATAGGGTGAATGGTTTGCCTTTTCTCTTTCCCCTGCAAAGTTCGCAGCATCTGTAAGATCTTGGCCATGAAAGCAGTCCGCAACAATCGCCTAGGCTCTGCTCTTTCTTGGAGCATTCGCGCCAAAGATGCCGCCTTTGCCACGCTGGTATCAGACAGGTGGGCTCCCTGTCTGCGTGCTCCCTGGATACTGCCTGGGACATCGCGGGGCTGAGCAGGGGGCCTGGGGCTACTGCTCTCATCTCTGGGCCGGCCTTGCAGGTTCCTCAGGGATTACTGTGAGCGAGGCTGCTTCTCTGACCTGGATCTCATTGACAACCTGGGGCCAGCCATGATGCTCAGTGATCGACTGACATTCCTGGGTGAGTCTCTGAGCTGTCTCTGGGACCTTCAGCACAAGCGCACAGAAGTTCTAGACTTCTCCAGGCCAAAACACACAGAACTCTGAGGGACTTCCCTGGTGGTCCAGCGGTTAAGACTCCATGCTTCCACTGCAGGGGGTGCAGGTTTGATCCCTGGTGGGGGAAGCGAGAGCCCACACTGTGCAGCACGACCAGAGGGGAAAAAACAGGAGCCAGTGTGGTCTCTGCAAAGCGTGTTTTTGGGTAACAGTTTATTTTCTGGTAATTTGAAACTTAGAAATTGTGAAAGCAGTGTAAGGAATAAGAGAGTACCCTACACACTTTACCAAGTTAACCAGTTATTCATGTTTTGCCTCATTTGTTTTATTCTGTCAGTCAAGTTTTTTGGGAATAGTTGGGAAGTATGTTGAAGACATTGTTTCCCTTCCTCCGTAAATATCTGAGCATGTATATCCTAAAGAATGAGAACATTCTCTTACTTAACCAGTTATGAAAATCAGGAGGTTCAGCATTGATACAATCCATGACAATCCAGAACAGTCCATGTTCTGATTTCATCAGCTGTCCCGATAATGTCCTTTATTTTATCATGAATTTAGTTTTCCTATCTCATTAATGCCTCTGCCTTTGTTGGTGTTCCTTAATCTTGACATTTTTGCAGAGTCTGTTCAGCTCTCTTGTAGAATATTGTTACTTTGGGTTTATTCATGAACAGCCTCAGGTTATATACTTGGCAGGAATTCCACTGAGGGGATGTTTTGTTTTGTTTTTTTAATTTTCAAACATGATTTTATTTATTTTTATTTTTTTTAATTTATTTTTATTAGTTGGAGGCTAATTACTTTACAATATTGTAGTGGTTTTTGTCATACATTGACATGAATTAGCCACGGATTTACATGTATTCCCCATCCCGGTCCCCCCTCCCACCTCCCTCCCCACCCCATCCCTCTGGGTCTTCCCAGTGCACCAGGTCCGAGCACTTGTCTCATGCATCCAACCTGGGCTGGTGATCTGTTTCACCCTAGATAATATACATGTTTCGATGCTGTTCTCTTGAAACATCCCACCCTCGCCTTCTCCCCCAGAGTCCAAAAGTCTGTTCTATACATCTGTGTCTCTTTTTTTCTGTTTTGCATATAGGGTTATTGTTACCATCTTTCTAAATTCCATATATATGTGTTTACTGTAATGGCCTTTATCTTTCTGGCTTACTTCGCTCTGTATAATGGGCTCCAGTTTCATCCATCTCATTAGAACTGATTCAAATGAATTCTTTTTAATGGCTGAGTAATATTCCATGGTGGAGGGGATGTGTTAATAGGAACTCCCTTAATGGAGTTCACCTTGATCACTTAGTTAAAATGGCATCCACCAGGGGTCTCCTCTAATATTTATTGAACCGATTTATTAATCTGTGGAGGTGTACTTTGGGATTATTTAAATCTCCTCAGATTTGATCCACTAGTGTTCGTAACTACTGGTGATCTTCTGAGTGCCAATAAAATTGTGTTTTAGTTGGCATTCCCCTGTATGGAAAGGTTCCCCTTCCTCTCATTTATTCTTTCATTTATATCAGCCATGGCCTTGAGGGTTATTTTATTCAGTCTATTATCAACCATGACTTGTTCATTTTGACACTTATATTCTCCCAGGTTTGGCTCTTTGGAGCCGCCTTTAAGCGAGGATTTTGAATCCTTTTGGTCTCGTTGGCTGATGAGCTTGGAGGCTGCTTTGGAAGAATTTCCTTGCTCTGGGGTCTCTTGTTTAGGGTCACAGGTGACCTAGTGCTCTCTCTTCCCAACAGGAAAGTACCGCGAGTTCCACCGCTTATATGGGGAGAAGCGTTTTGTCGATGCCGCTTCTCTCCTCCTCTCTTTGATGACATCCCAGATTGCCCCCCGGTCTTTCTGGATGACGCTGCTGACAGATGCCCTGCCCCTTTTGGAACAGAAACAGGTACAGGTTGAGTCCACAGTGCCTTCTCTTTTATCCTGTAGCTGTTGCAAATGTACATCCATCCATCGTCTCCTAAGTAGGGGTGTGTGATTTCCGTAGCGCCCACTCTGGAAATCTAGTATCTCCACAAGCAAATGACTTATCTGGAAATGAGGCAGTGGTCCACGGACAGTGCTCAGCCCAGGACCCTGATGAGAAGAGCCGGGAGTGAGAGTAGGGCCTCTCAGCTCCCAGCACACTTCTCCACGTGAGACACGAGAAAGGCTGTCTCAGCCGAGCCCTTGCCAGACAGCTGCGGGCCCTGGCTGGGGAGCAGCTCCGCGAAGTGGCCTCCCCCCACAGGTGATCTTCTCCGCGGAGCAGACGTACGAGCTCCTGAGGTGTCTGGAGGACCTGACCTCAGGAAAGCCGCTGTGTGGAGAGCCCGACGCCCAGCAGCTCCAGGTCAGTCTGGTGGTTCCAGGATGGAGGGGAGAAGAGGCACCCCGCCCAAGACGTTGGCCCCTTACAAACTCACATGCCTCTCACGTTACCGCTAACTTGTGACCGGGGCACACTAACTCTTAGGTGGAAGTGGGGTGATTCAGTGTTCGGGCCTCTCGATTTTTTCTTTCCTATCAGTTGTGGTGGTCTCTGCATGCTGCTTGGTCTCATATTAAGAACTTGCTGGAAGATACTACTCAATGTTTTGTGCCCTTTATCTCCCTTTGGATTAGTCTTGGGAAAGAAGGAAAACCTCCTGCTGGTCTTCACACAGGCTGTCTTTGGTTTTAGGATGATGATATAGAGACCACCAAGGTGGAAATGCTGAGACTTGCTCTCGCACGGAATCTTGCTCGGTCGATTATAAAAGAAGGCTCATTGGAAGGTTCCTGAAGCTGGCTCCAACATGGTATCTTTGTAAAGGCAATGTATATACACTTTTAAAAGAATAAATGTTTCTTTTTGCAAGTACAGGCAAGTTCTTACATGTGGGGAGGTTTTAACCTGCCAGCACTGAAACCTGAGGTAGCCACCTTGGAGAGAAAGCATCCCTGGAGTTACGGGGAACACGGAGCCCTCCTGCCCGCAGGTAGAAACCTGAACAAGACTGTTCAGCGGTTTGCTTGTGCATCTGAAACTTTGCTTTACGTCAGAATCATCTGTTAACTTCCTGGTTATCTTTTTATTTAGCATTTTGTGTTGGGGTATCGCCGGTCAACGTTGTGATAGTTCAGTGAACAGCGGAGTGACTCAGCCACACATATACATGTGTCCATTCGCCCCCAACTCGCCTCCCATCCAGGCTGCCCCATAGCGCTGACATTGAGCAGAGTTCCCTGTGCTGTCTATACAGTAGCTCCTTGTTGGTTCTCTCTCTCAAATACAGCAGTGTGTACATGTCCATCCCAAACTCCCTAACTAGCCCTTCCCCTCATCTTTCCCCTTAGCTTCTCTAAAAAAGGAAACAGTCTAGGAACTTATCTTTCAACAGAAACCTCAGGTGGCACCTTCCCCCACAGTGGGTGACTGGCACCTGTATTATAAAGATTCCAAATAGGGCAAAAATGGTTTTATTTAACATGCAGCAAAACAAGGGCAGCAGTTGATATATCCAGTAGTTTTTTGTCACAAAGTGACCTCAATAGTAATGAGTAACACTCATAAATAACTCTAAGTCTAAAGCTTATCGTAAAGGTACATTCCGCATAGTAGTCCCACAGAGCTTCCCAGGGCTGCAGCAGCCCATCTCTGGAGAGCTCTTGGATTTACTCCTTAAGGAGTGAAATGGATTCACTTTCGTCTGTCCTAATGAAGCAGTGAAACCTGCTCGCTGATGAGGGGAGCGGAGGGGGTGATGGCCTCTTGATTAAGGAAGCCTGGCGAGAGCAGGGAGGGCTGCTCCAGGGCTGCCTCTCCCTGGAGCTGGCTCTGGCTCATCCAGCTGAGCGTGGGTGAGCCACCTGCTCGTTCCCCAGCGGCGGGGTCTCACCTGCCTGTTGCCCCGTGAGGCCTATCTGTAGCCAGTGGACAGAGCACTGTTGAAGCAATAGGGTCTGGTGACTCGATTCAAGCAAGGCCCCTAATCTCACCACCTCCAGACCCAACATGTCGCCGACAGTGCCCCTCAGCAGCTGGGGACACTCGGGGTCTCTGGGCAGCAGGTAAGGACGTAAGTTTAGTGCAACGCGCCTGATCCTGAGGCCTCCTGTTCCCAACCGCGAGCCACCCCGCAGGCCATCTGGTGGGAGGAGGGGGGCCAAAGCAGGACACAGGGTGCTGTCTTCCCCTTCAGAGGCGTGAAGGGCAGCACAGCGGTTTGTTCCAACGCTGAGCAAGAGGTAGTGAGTGAGTGAGATGGCCTGCTCCCACGGCAGGAGGCACCCTTTCCCAGAAAGTGCTGGGCACCTGCTTCCGGAGAAGGCGCAGCACTGCTCTTTTCCATTTCCTTTCCTAGTTGTGGTTCAGGCTGCCACAAGGCCAAGTTCTACTTCTAGCAGCTTGAGTCCCTTATCTTACTGTGATGTCCATAGGACACAGCCTGCCGCCGCCAGGGCCCAGCACAGCTCCCTGGAGGCCAGCCGTTCCAGGCTCACGCTGCCTACAGAGGGCAAGGGTGGCGGTCCGGCAGCACGCCAGCGCCCTGCTCTGGGCCCAGGGCCAGTGGGGAGCCTAGGCTGTGCCCTCCTCCCTGGAGCATGCCGAGGGGAAGCCTGGGTAGCAGTGGGGCTGAGAACTGGGGATGTGAGGATGTGGTCCTGGAGGGTCCTGAGTCTCTGCATCAGAGGATGCCAGCGCAAGGGGAAAACCCACTCCAGCCCTGGGGCCATGTCCCCAGGGGGCGGCGCAGCACCTGGGGCCACTCCCCGCTCCTGATGCACGTGGCCACTTCAAGTCACACAGGTAGATAAAAACAGGTCCTCTTAGGGGCTGAAGGAAGAGAGATCACAGCAGCGGCTCGGCTCCCAGCAGCAGCGGCCAGGGCCCCTGTTCCACATCAAAGCTCTCAAGCACAGCGGTTAGGATGTGAAGGAGGACCAGGCCTGGAGAGCCTCCCGTATTGGGGCAGCCTGCCTGGGCTCCAAAGTGCAGCCAACACGTGTCCTCTGGGGTCATAGGTTCCCCCACTGCTCCACAGGGGGGAACTGGTCCACCTCACCCACCTCGGTGCTCAGCTGCTCCCCCAAGGCAAAGGTCAGCCTGTACCGAAGCCTCGCCTTCTCCTGCAGCAGAGGGGCCGCGTGTCAAGACACCCCTTCTGATACCCTCAGGGTATCATGCTTTCATGGCAGGGGACACGCCCTGCTCCTACCACCCCATCCTCACTGGGTCATTGGGCCAGGGTGGAAAAGGGACATGGGAGAAGCAGTAACACTCCAGGCTGGGAGGCGGTGGACGCGGAGGTCTAAGCTGGGGCAGCCAGGGCTTCCCGCTGGGGTCCCCAGCTCCAGCTCACCTTCAGCGGGTTGGCCAGCAGCATGACCTGTGTGATGGCTGCAGGTGGCTGGATGGGGCTGAAAGGAGAGAGTTCTGTCCCAGAGGGTGGCTGCAACTTCACTTTCATTGACTAGAGAGAGAGACAGGCTCCTTTGAAGAGATGGCAGGTGCCCTTGAGGTGGAACGGGGTGTGGCACGTGGGTGCAGGAAGAAGCCCCAGGGGGCGGGGATACCTTGGGCACTGCGGCCTGCAGCACGATGCTCTTGATGGGCAAGGGAGCTGTGTTCAGCATGGACACCACCACCACCAGCACATCGGGCCGTCCTGGAGGGCACTCCTTGGCAAAATGGAAGAGGATGCGGAAGCCGTTTTTATCATAGGCCGTCACAGGAAGGGCACTGCCTGTGTGTGAGAACGGGGCAGGTGAGGGCATGGAGAGAGGTGGGCCTGAGACAAAGCACCGCAGCCGAGGGGAGGGCACAGCAACCCCGGGACCAGGAAGCTCCGGGCGGAGCCTGGGAAGAACCTCCTGAGTGCACAGCGGGGACAAGCACAGACTTGGGTGACAACGTAGGGTGGGCTGCATGTGGCTCTAAGGGACCCTGGCAAGAAGAGCCTGGACCCACCCACCCCTTGCATGCGGCCCAGAGCTCTGCAGGCTGGGACCTCCGCCCCTCACCCCGAGCCTCCAACACCTACTCGGTTTGATAGACTCCAGGGGCACGTGGACACTGGCCAGGGAGAGCTCGGGCCCCTTCACAGGGCTGCCCTGGGCCTGGAAGAGAGGGCTGCCGGGCCCCGTGGAGAGGGGGAGGAGAGGCCGAGCGGAGGTGCCGGTGGGGAGCAGAGGAGGGGCGGCAGCGCCTGGGAAGAAGCTGGAGGCGGCGGGTTTCACCAGGCCTGACGTCCTGGGCGGCAGGAAGGAGGACAAGGCGTGTCGAAGGCCAGGCAAAGCCGCTGACCACCCTGCACGGAGGCCCCCAGACTAGAGCCAGCTCTCCCCCCCATCCCGGCTTCCAGATTCCAGCCGACCCACCAGACTGAGAGGGAACTCCCGCGACCCCCTGGGGCTGCCTCCCCAGCACCCCGCTCCCGCTCATTACACTTTGGCCTCTTGTAGAAGCTGGTCGAGGACATCCAGCTGGTGCAGGGTACTATTGCCCAAAGCAGAACCGTGGTACCCGGGGGTGATGGGCTTAGCCTTTGGGGCCGGAGCTGGGGCCAGGCCGGTGGAGAACAAGAAGGGGCCGGCTCCGTGGGCAGGAACTCCAGCCGGGACCACTGGGGCCTGGGGCCTGCCTGCGGGGGCCCCCGAGGGCTGCAGGAGAGGCCCATCTGCAGGGCTGCAGGCTCCCGGCCCGGGCTTGGAGCTGAAGAAGTCCAGGTCCGACTGCTCGCTCTGGGGAATGAGAGCGGGAGTGAGGTGGCCCTGCAGGTGGCGGAGGCTCCAGGCTCTCCACCCTGCCTGCCCCCCACGCTGTTCCCGGAGGCTGGGCTGAGCCCTCTGCACCAACAGCCGTCCAATGGACAAGGCGTGTGAAGCGCTGTGTGCGGGAGGGTGCCCGGGGCCAGGACAAGGCTGGCAAGGGGGGCAGACACAGCGCCCGCCCCTACCTGGAGCAGGGGCCACTGGCTGTTCCCAGCTGCCTCGGCGGGAGGAGCGCTGGGCACCGGGTCGGCGAGGCCTGAGGACAGAGGAGACGGCTGTGGTGGAAGAGGCTCTGCGCTAGGGCGGCCCCAGCCCCACCTCACCTGAGGGAGGGTCACGTGACCACCAGGCTGTCCGAGGGGGAAGGGGTGTCCCCCATAGCTTCCAGAGGGGAACGGGCCCTCTTCCGTCTTTATGCTGCGGGGGTGCCTCCCGGGAAAGGGGAAAGCACAGCCAGACACAATGTCCACCCGAGGACACTGCCCTGGGCCCTCCTTCCCACCCTTGCTCAGCACCCAGGGTTCCCTCAGGCCTCCCCGCCCAGGGCAGCCCCCCTAGGACGCACCCAAGCAGAGTAGCTCCTCGTCCAGCAGGCTGAGGGCGTTGCTCGTGCTGCTGGGCCCTGGGGGCGCCTCCGGCTGGCCAGCCGAGTGGCTGCGCCCAGGGCCCGAGGCCTGGGGGGGCGGAGGGAGGACAGGGATGCTTGAGCTGGAGGAGGCGGGGGCCAGCGCTGGGGGCGGGCTGCTTGGCGCATCCACCTCAGCAAGGTCAATGAGAGTGCCTTGGTGGCTGGAGCGGCCGTTTCCTGGATGGATGACGGAAGGGGACAGGAATCACTGGGGGCCCCTCCCAGGCTGCGCAGGGGAGGAGGGACCCTGAGCACAGCCTCTGGCCGCCTCCCAGAACACCTGTCCGGGGAGCGGTGAAGAGCTGGTGGAGGCGGCGGGTGGGGACACCCTGTGTGACCTCCTGGGAGGGGCTTGGAGTCCCCTCAGGCCTTTGAGCTAACACGGGGTCACTCTGCACTGGGGCCTGGCAGTGGGGACCCGGGCTGCTCTGGAGGGAGCAGGAAACCAGAACACTTTACCTTCTGAGTCGGGAATGGCTGAGGTCACCACCTCACCATTGACAACCTGCCCTTCAACGACTGTCTTATAAGAGTTGATGACCCGGGAGAGGTTGTCACTGGCCTGTAAAATGTCCCCTAGTACCGGAGAGAAACCTGTCACTCACAGCATGACGATGCCCCCACCACACACCATCCAAATCCCCGGGTCACCCCCTCAACTATCCTTCCCGTTCCACTCACCTAAACTATTGTCATTGTCCTCTGTCTCGCTGGCGAGTTTGAATAACGTCCGCCTCTTGTTCTCACACCGATCAAACAGCTCCTAATAGAGACCCAGCCGGGAAAACTCGAGCTGCCAGGAGATGACCCAACCCACCGTCCATACCAGTGTCCCAGCTCCCCTAGTATCATGGTCAGCTCCTGGCAGAGTCAGACTCTGCACACATACTTCCTGCCGCCAGCCTCGGCCACTCTGCATCACAAGACACCTGCTCAGGCAGGTCCCTTCTGGCAGGACCAGGACAGCAGGTCCCTTCCCGCCTCCCTGGCCGGCACATGCCTCAGAATTCAGAGTCTCATGTGACTGAGGACGGAGGAGTGCACCGGGGAACCAGGGTGGGCCTTTCTCTGCCCAAGCGTCCCCAGGCAGAAGGCGAGGTGGACAGCAGGGGCGCGCCCCGAGGCAGGTCTGCAGAGTCACGCAGACGGAGGGTGCATGGAGCGAGTCAGCCATGGCTCACATGAAAATGGGGGCGGCACCCCTCTCGGCCTGGCTGCTGGTGGAGGAGGGTCGCTGGGGTGTAGCACCGTCTCGGGGCAGGGACGCCCTCTCCTGGGGCCTACCTTCATGAGCTCCTTGTCTGCCTCCGCAGAGCCTTCTCTGCTGTAGTGACGCAGCATCTCACCAAGCAGCTTCACGCTGGTATCCACCTCCTCTAAGGTGTGCAGACGCTCGGTCACCTTCTGCACCCGCGCCTCATCCTGTGCCAGAGAGGACCAGGGAGCGAGAGCTGTGGACTCAGCCCACTGCCCGCCCCCAGACTCCCAGGGAGGGTGAACACCTGCCCAGGGAACATGCGGGCCAAGTCCCGCCCCACAGAAGCTCCTTTCAAAACGTGATTCTTGGGACTACTGGCCTCAGACCTAACCTACAGCTCTTCTTTCAAAGCAGCAGCCCGCCTGCCCCCAAGCCTGACCCCATGACTCCCATTCCTCTCTCCTATCCACCCCCTGCTCCCACATGTGGGGGAGCCCTGGAGACAGGGGAAGGGACTGCTGCTCTGGGGCCACGGGCTCCTCCTCCCCAGGGCTCAGGGCCCACCCACCTCCTTCACCATGGACTTGATGAGCTTGTTGGCCTCCTGCAGGTCGTCTGGGTTTTTGCTTTTCAACAGCTTAGCTAAAAGCTGGAAGAGGAGGGCCTCAGAGGTGGAGGGAAGGCAGCACCCCACCGGGGCACCCTGGCACTGAGCGAGCCCACACCCCATCAAGGACTTTACCTTGGATTTCTCCTCGTCATCAAAAACGGGGTTTTTGGGACGAGGTGGTGGAGACGGGATCAGCGTCCTGTCCACAGAGATCAGCGGGTCGGAATGCACGATGCCTGAAAGGGGACGGAGCAGAGGTCGCACAGGCTGGGCCGCCCTGGTGCCCGTTCCCACACAGCAAGGGGCGCCCCCGGGGCCAGGCCTGCAGGCCGCACGCGCCTCAGCCCCTCAAAGCCCAGCCCAGTGCCCCCTGCTTGGGCAGACAGCCGCGTACCCTGTCTCTTCAACATGTGGTAGGCATCCTTGATCTTTGATTCTTCCGGCAGGGCCAACGTCCAGCTATAAAGCAGCTCAATAACCTTGGTCTTCACTTTCTCAGACACCCTGTCCCCCAGGTACTAAGGAGCAAAGGAAATGGGAAAACTGAGTGCGTGTAGCCTGGAGGCAGAGACAGAGGGAAGGCTGTGTTCACAGCAGTGAAATGGTCACTAATTGGCTACAATCCCCAGGTGTGAGCTGCAGGTGTGAGACAGCGCCGCCGGGGGAGGGGAGCGGCATCCAGGGGGCACAGCCTCCGGTCAGGCAGGGGGCCGTGAGCTTGTCACCGTGTTCACACAGAATAAGCCAGACACATAACTGCACTTTCTCTCGAAGGAGTGAACGAGAATGCCTTCGCGGTGAAGAAGTGTCCCGTCTGCCCAAGCAGGTGCCCAGAGCTGAAGCGACACTAGTGCGTGACCGTGGCGGCCACGTGACAGGTGAGGAACAGTGACTGCTGTCACGGGAGCCCGTCAGCGGGTTCACTGAGGCCGGGAGGTCCGCAGACGTCCCTGTGTGCACGTCTATCCTCAGCACGGCGTCCTCTGAGTACAGGACCCAGGGAACCCCGGACCTGGGGAGACGCTGGTTCGCATGGTGAAAGCCAGTAAGGTGGGAGCGGGGAGGAACACAGAAGTTCTGAGAAACGAAACTGCCACCGACTGACCTTCGGAGAGACGACTTTGATCAACTCATTCAGAAACCGGAACTTGCCCACTTCGTTATGGAGCCTCCTGCCGCAGTTCTTCATGCAGGCTTCCAGCACCTGGGGCACAGAGGCCGGCGCTCAGGCCAGGACCTGGCGCTCGACCAGACCTCACATGCTGGTGGCGCTGCATAAATCCTTGCCCAAGGAAGGACCTAACCAGAAGAGGCGGCCCTGGGGGACATCAGGGCAGTGGGATTACTCACAGAAGAGTTCCTCAAGGTGCAAACCCCTCCAGGGACGCTCAGCAGAAACTAAAGTAAAAAATGCTGAAGCCCAGTTAACAAGACAGTCAGACGGTCAGCCCTGGAGCAGGCCTGCCTGCAGATCCTGCCCTTGGGCTTCAGAGGTGAGGAGATGGGAGGCAGAGACCACACATTCCTCTTATTCAGGGTCCAGGGCTCTTTCCACGAGCTGAGCAACATGTTGGGCAGGCCGGAGAGATGTTTCAATTCTGTTTTCTTCATCTTAGACAGACATGCTATTTTCCCGCCCGCAGCCCCATCTATCTTCCTTCTGGGGCCTCAAGTTCTCAGGCACTGCTATGGCGCCTGGTGCCTGAGTTTATGCCAAGGAGTGAAACACCCAAGTGCTGCCCCCTGCCCCGGCTTAAATCTTTATAAATCTGGGGTATTCAACTGCACTACTATGGATGTTCTGGGCCAGTCACCTGTTCTGGGAGCCTGTCCTGGGCACTAGAAAGTGCTCAGGAGCCCCGGCCTCCACCCACATAGATGCCAGTAGCACCCCCTGACCTGTGACAAACAACAGTGTCTCCAGACACTGCCCTGTGTGACAGACCTGCCCCCGCTGGAGAACCAGGTTTAGTTAAGACTTCGCTCTACGGAGGACACGGCACAGGCATGCGGTAGGCTAAGTGCCTTTCCACAACATCCCCGCTCCCGCCCTTCCAGGAGCTGAAGGAAGTCAGGAGAGAACCCGGGCATCCTGGTTTAGGGGAGAGCCTGGAGGCGTCCCAGCACCGCACTCGGCTCCGCGTCCTGAATCCTCCGAGTCTGAATAAACGCTAAGATCTGCCCACTGGGCTGATGCCTTCACTAGCAACCCGCATCATTTTTAGCTGCGGGACGAATTACACCTGGCCAGCTCTCACTTGGCAGGACAGCTCTGTCGGCCTCTCTGAGCCCCAGCCCGGGCCCCGGCCCTACCACTCTGCCTTGGCCTCTCCGCTTCTCCCATCACACCTTGTGCTCGCACTCAGCCATCCGTGATGCTTGGGCCTGGCACAGGGGCACACACGTCTGTGGAACAACTGACTGTGCAAGGTCCAGGTAAGTCTAGTTTGTATCCAGGACGCTCAGCTGGCTGAGGGCGTGAGCCCTGACCCCCTCAGAGATCCCAGCGGACTCCGGAAGATCCATCACCAGCACGAAAAACCTACCGTCAGGGCCTGGACCGCCTCCCATTCCTGCGGAGACTGGATCTTATGGGCCAGCAGTCGGACAGCGATCTGCGGCCTGAAGACGAGCAAAACCACACCTTGAGGACGTTGACCCCTGCCCACCTGGCCAGCCCTCCTTTGCCAGTTTTTCACTTTACCAATCAACCGTCTCTCACCTGCCCCCTAACAGTTCCCAGACTCACCCTTCAAGCTCCTTGTTGATCTGATCACAAAAGCCAATTATGTATTCCCAGTCCTCCTGGCGGTTAGAAGGATTGGTGGCTTTATCTGGGGAGAGAACGAAGATGACGACTGTTACAAAGAGCAAGGAGGACACCGTGGAAGGTTTTCCTCACAGTTTTAAGGCACTGATGTGAAGAAATTTCTTCTCTAATAGAGCAGACTCAATAGTTTAGTCAGACAATGAGTCAAATACAAATACTTGAAAAAAATTTTTTTCTGGTAGTGCCACATGGCTTCTAGGATCTTAGTTTCCTGACCAGGGATTGAACCTGGGCCCCAAGCAGTGATAGAGCAGAGTCTTAACCCCTGGACTACTACAGAATTCCCTACAAATATCGCTTTCTGTCCAGTATTCTGAAAGTTACAAACGAAAGAGAAAACAAATCTGAAGCCTCTCGTTTTAAGGCAAGTTAATGACGTTTACTGAGCCCTCTAAGCACAGATTGTGCTATCCGTCCCTGGGGTCACAGAAACAGAATCGAAGCCTGAGCAATCAGCATCTCTGAGTTTAAATGGTCTTTCACAAACAAGGACAAAGACAAGCACTGAAGGGTCACCCAGGGTTTAAACTCCAGGAGGTGAATGCCAAGTCTCCTAACACGTGGTGTGTGTCCTCTCTTCTCAGTCATGCCCAGATTCTGTGCTTAGAGAGGACGGCCCCAGCTGAGGGTGGTTAAATGCGTTCCCATCTCTGATTCAGATCTTGGAGTCGGCCTCTTCCAGAAAGCACTCTCAAGCTGTTTGCTAAATTTAGGGCTTCAGGTTCAGAAGACGAACGGAAGACTGAAGGCGTGTATCCTTTTTAAAGTCCAGGCTCCTCCAGCAGATTTCCGCCAGGGCCAAAAGCAGAGTGAGAGCCTTGAAAAAACCCTTCCCAAAAGGGGTGATGTTAGACGTTCCTGAATTCTGATTGCTCGTGACTGTGTTTCTTCACTTCCCTTTTCCTAATGTTAAAAATCACTAGCTCCACACTCAAATCCTAACAGGGACTCCGAGCCAGCCCCATCCCCACCCAGGCGTCACGAGGCAGCAGACGCCACCCAGTGGCATAGGGAAGACCCGCAGCGCCCAGCGCTGTGTGTGCAGGGCAGCGTTCCTACTCTGGAGGCCAGAAAATTCTGGTGGTTTAGGATCATATTTGGAGGAAAAGAGAGATGTCAGTCCTAAGTCTTGAAAAGAGAATTAGCAGGCCCTTGAAAATGTCATGCTTGGAGGGAAGGGAGATAAATTCTATCAAGAGGGGCTATTTGTTGCCACAGGGACCTACCAGCTGTCACCCTCCAGAGAAGCCCTGAGTGTCCCCGACCGGGTGCCTGAAATTTTCTCAGGTGTCAGGGTGGCTTTGTTACTGCTGCTGCTGCTAAGTCGCTGCAGTCATATCCGACTGTGCGACCCCATAGATGGCAGCCCACCAGGCTCCCCCGTCCATGGGACTTTCCAGGCGAGAGTACTAGAGTGGGGAGCCGCTGCCTTCTCCAGGCTTTGTTACTAATCCCTAGCACCTGAGATGCTTGGAGTTCCCATATGACATTAAGAGGGTGTAGGATACAAAAGAAAGATGGTCTGAGGAGCCATACCTGCCCCTGTCACTACAATCATTCTGGGAGCAGTCACACGCCTTCCACTGTTTGCCACTGGAAAAGCATGTCACAGACGCAGGGGACAACATGCACAGCCCCTCCCCTCCCCACACAGAGACACAAAGCCATGGGCGTTCACCAAAAATGTGTCCTGCCCTCGGCTGCCACGACTCCATTTCTGCTTCCAGGAACACTCCCACCTACTTCTCACTTTCGTTCGACATCTCGAGAACCCCACTTCCTGTCCCCCAAGAGGCTCCCACCGAAAACCTGCAGGGAGCTCTTGGCCTACACATGAACACAAAGCCCTGGTTTCAGCCACGGTTTGCCCCACTTCTGAGTATTCCACCCCCCCACCTCCAGCCAGCTGAGACAGCAGAACTCAGTCACCCACAGGAACTGCAAGAACCTCTGGAGATAACTTGGGGTGACTCAGGCACTCCGTCTGCCCACTGCCTCCCGGCAGATGCACACACCCACCACCTACTCAACACTCTCCTTCACCTGCAGTGGAGGTGACGCCAGAACCTCCCCTGCAGATCCTGCCTTCCAGAACCGCCCCTCGGGACTCCAGGTTTCTATTCTGGGGTCTCTGTTGAAAGCCTTATGCTAGTCTGTGTCTCTGCCTCTATACATCCTGCTCTCATTTTCAACTCAATTCTATGACTAGCCATGACTGTCGTGGGACCTCTGGTCCAGGAGGGAGGGGAACAGCATTGGCCACCCCGCCCCAACACAGGTCAAACAGTCCAGTGACAAGTTCCACGTAGCAAGGACAAGGATGGAGGAGAAGTCAAGCGTCAAACTTTAGTGCGAAGGTCTTGAATAAAGGGAGACTTAGTCAACCACCAAGTCTTTTGTTAAACAGCCACAGAAAACTAAGTAGACAGCAAGTTAGGCCCTGGAGGAACCACAGGAAAAGTACAAGACTCGGATCCTACCCTTGAGGAGGTTACGCTCTTCTGGTGCGACGCATGAGAAACAACCAGAGCAAAACAAGACAGGGTGTAATTATAAGTGCTCACTTGGTGCAGAAACGAGTCTAAAAACACTCATCATTTCTCCTCCCTGACTTCCCTATTTCTATAAATGGTGCTACCATTTCAAGGCTCCTTCTGCCCCCAACCCCAGGCACCCAGGTCTGAAGGCTCCGTCTTCCCTCTCCTCATCCAATTTCATTAGTCAGTCCTAATCTCTTCCTTCTCCATGTCTTTACTATTTTTTTCCCCCTCGAGGCTAGTAGGGTCTTAGCTCCTCTACCAGGATTGAGCCCCGGCCCTCGACAGTGAAAGCGTGGAGTTCTAACCACTGACCTGCCAGGGAATTCACCTCAATGTCTTTTTGTGTGCTGTGCTCAGTTGCGTCCGACTCTTTGCAACCCCATGGACTGTAGCCCACCAGGCTTCTTTGTCCGTGGAATTTTCCAGGCAAGAATACTGGAATTGGTTGCCACCTTCTACTCCAAGGGATCTTACTGACCCAGGGATCAAACCTGAGTCTCTTGCCTCTCCTGCATTGGTAGGCATATTTTTTACCACTGAGCCACCTGGGAAACCCCAGTGTCTTTTTAAAACTGTTTTTTTTACTCCTGCCCTGACCTCCTGATTTCTCACTTGCTTCCAGAACTTCTGCTCCAATCCATCCTATGTAAAACACCTATAGGAACCTTCCCAGAACACTGACTTAACAGGTACAGTATGAATGGGAATCTCTTAACTGGAGACACAGACTTCTTGGAGTGGAATTGGAGCCGGTCCAGAGTTTGGCTCTTCCTATCTCTCTTCCATGTTCCTACAGGAACGCCCTGCTTGAGTCAAACGTCTGTTACTGCATGCCCCAAACACAGTCTGCTCCCTCCACACCACTGTCTGCTGTTTTCTTAGCCTATTTTCCCATTCTTTAAGGCCCAGCTCGAGTGCCATCTCCCCATTGGGAGAACCATCTCCCATTTCACTTATCCCCAATTTCCCAAAATAAACTGTCTGTATTTTAGCATTTATGGTTCCTGCTTTTTTACTTAAAAATGCTTTATCCACTCCAGCACCACTATCATCAAACTAAAGGCAAAGCCTTTGAACTTAGTTTTCATTAACACCTCACACAGTAGGTATTCACTAAGTACTGATTAACTGCAGTAATGACAGGACGTTAGAGAAGGCTGAAGTCATCAAGAGATGGTTTATGGGGAAGGAGATGCCGGGATGGGTTTCAAAGCATGTAAAGGAGCACAGGGGAACAGGGCTTTCAGGAAAGGAGAGCAATGTGTGTTGGTGGGACAAGAACATCCAGCTGACCGAAGCAAGGAAGAATACCAGGAAGTCACAGAGAGGCAGAGGGGAGCAGCAGTGCAATGACCTGAGTAAGCAGAAGGGTTCTTCTGGGAGCAGAATTGGGCTGGGGGGGAGACCTGAGACCTGTCCAAAATGTCACTCTATGTAACAGGAAAGGGTCAAAGGCCAGTCTCAGCTCTAGTCTCTACAGATACCCTCCCTCTCCCCCATCACCATCTCCACTCTCCCTCAAAAACAGGTCTAAACTCTAAACCTAGCCTATCAGACTCAGCTGAGGTCATTTAAATTTCTCTGAAGTCCCCATTAACATCTGTAAATGGAACCAATTCCAGAGTATTTACATACAGTTGGGTGGCAATACTTTGGCCACCTCATGCAAAGAGTTGACTCATTGGAAAAGACCCTGATGCTGGGAGGGATTGGGGGCAGGAGAAGAGGATGATGCTGGGAGGGATTGGGGGCAGGAGAAGAGGACGACAGAGGATGAGATGGTTGGATGGCATCACTGACTCGATGGGCATGAGTTGGAGTGAACTCCGGGAGTTGGTGATGGACAGGGAGGCCTGGCGTGCTGCGATTCATGGGGTCGCAAAAAGTCGGACACGACTGAGCGACTGAACTGAACTGGGTGGCTCTGGGCAAGTGAACTGATTAGAGCCAAGGTGTCCTCTTTTGTGACACTGTGACACCAGTACCTACTTTGCTAGGATTCTTGATAAATGAACGTCTCTGGAGCACTCTGAGCTCCTGGGAGAACAGTTCCATATACACAGAAGGCTTTGTGACTTGCCTGCAACTGCAGACCTTGCAAATGTAACCTACGTTCAACCACCTGAACAGGGTTTCTTATGAAGGGGAGTCAGCCAGTTGGAGGAAGCGGGCATCACCCCTCAAGAGGCGGCAGGCTCTAGTAAATAACTGACAATACACAAGGCAGCGTCTAGGCTCCAGCCTTCTTATCACCCTGCGCAATTTGTCTTCACTTAAACAGGCCTCCAGGGGCCTCCTCTAGCCCATACTTAGTAAACTCAACGTATTAATCCTTCGGCCAAATGCAACCTGCTAAGGTTATCCTGTATTTCCTCAACAGCAATATGAGTGAGCAATCATAGCAATAGGCCGCTATAACTACACTATAACTACACTCAGCTTTGCTGAGTAGTTTACCAACGAATGACTCGTTAAGACATACGGGGGGTGGGGAGAAGGGTCCCGCAACAGAGCTTTCATCATGCTTCGGTTACTGCAGGGAAAAGTACTTTTTTTTTTCCTCTCTCTCTGGATTATTTTCACTTCAAACATTCAGCCTGCGCGAAGCAGTCACTTCTGGAATACACGGTCAAAATTCTGAAGCTATGTGGGTATGCACAGTACCACCCACCGCTCCCGGAGGTACAGCCCCAGTTCGGAGCTTTCCCCTTCGTCGGAAGAGCGCAGGGGTCCCGGAGTCACGGCCTTGCGCGGCCCCTCCACAGTTTCCCCAAAGCGCCGATGCATGTCAGCCTGAAGCACTTGGCTGTCACTTTCCCGGAGCCCGCGAGGCCCGAGCTCACCGCGCAGGGCGCAGGAGCGAGAGGAGGCGCCGCGGCTCAGAGAGCACGGGCCGGGCGGCCCCGCTGAGGAAGGGGCGCGATCCCGGGGCGCTCGCGGCACGAGCGAGGCTTGGCGCGGGCTGCCGGGCGGCGCCACCGCACGGTCGGGGGAGGGGACCGCGGGCTGGGGAGAGGGGCGGCTCGAGCGCGAACAGACTCGGCCGCGGATACTCACTCAGCCAGGACTCCAGACTCTCCCCTTCCGCCTCCGCCATATTGCAGCCGCCCGGGCCGGCCCAGCGGCCTCAAACCTCGCGAGGACCTGAGAGAGATGAGCCGGGGCGGGGCCTGCATAGGGACCTGAGAAGACAGAGCGCCGCCGCCTAGGATCTTGCCAGGCTGCGACGGATAATGCGAGGGCGAGCGTTTCCTTTTTGACTATCCGCCTTAGACCTCGGAGTGAGAGACTCTTCAGACCCAGATTAACAGGGTGATGCGCAGATCTTGGACCCCGTAGCTCCTTTCCCCTGTCTTCAGTCACTCGCTCAGGCACGCCGAGGGCAGTCTCCGTGGGGTCCTGCTGGTAGCCAAGATGGCTGCCCCCACGGTGAAGGTTGCGCGAGGGTGGTGGGGCTTGGCTTTCGGCGTGCGGAGGGCTGTCCTGCGGCTTCCAGGGTGAGAGGGTGGCGGGCAGCTGGGAGGCCTCTTGGGTCTTCACGGAGAGACCTGCTGGGAAGGAAAGAGGGGTGCCACAGGCAAGCCTCGCGGGGACCTGGAGAGAGCCTTGGGGGGCCGGGGTAACTGAGTACAATCCTCCTTATCCCGCTGCGTGAGTTTGGGTCAATCTGAAAGCTTAGTAGTTGCTCCCTGCCTGAGAAATTCTCACTTGGATCTGAAAGTGTGATCTTTCTAAAGAACTCAGAACTGGGGTTTCCTTTGCTGGGAGGTGGGGGGAGAGGTGCATAGGCGAATTGTCTATCTTGACGTTCAGAAGCCTGTTTTTACTGTTGGCACTTGAGCAGCAGACCTTCCTGGCCTCTTTAGGGGAAGTCCTCCTACCTCTTGGGACAAGAGCCAGAATTACTGCAGCTCAGCTTTGTCTGGCGGTCTCCCCGCTGCTCGCTTGGCGGCGGTTTGGCATACATGCCTATTGTTAAGTCAAGCCTTTTCACTTGAGTCAGCTTTTGCCCTCCACTTCCTCTCTCCCCCTCCCCCTCGCCGCCAGGCTAACCCTAGTGAGGTGGAGCCGCTATGGCCCTGAATACCAGGATCCTCAGATTGACAAGGAATATTACCGCAAGCCCTTGGCCCAGCTGACTGAGGAGGAGACGTATGAGCGGGAGCTCAGGAAGACTCAGGTTATCAAAGCTGCCCCAGCCACGAAAACAAGCTCCGTGTTTGAAGACCCAGTGATCAGGTTAGCAGAAAACAAACTTTTGTTCCACAGAGTGGGACTATACGGGGGAAGGCGGAAGGATATACAGTAAGGATTCTGTGACAGCCTTGGGAACCTAAACAGCTTTTTCTTCTTAAAGTAAATTCACCAACATGATGATGAAAGGAGGAAACAAAGTACTGGCCAGATCCCTCATGACACAGGTAAACAGTACCTCTTTGTCATCTTTGTTTTCCCCGTAGTTTTGTGTTTGGCTCTTTCATCTTAACATAAAAAAGAATGGATTTTGTACCTGTCATTAAAATGAGTTTCTCTGTACTTACGTGTGGGAGTAGAGGCTTTAAGAAGTCCTACAGGAGTCAACCACTGCCATCCCCCAGCCCCGCATTACAAATCTTCGCTCATTCTTCTGTCCTGGTCCAGGGTTTTTGTTTCAGAAGTACTAAGGGAATAGCTGGGCAGCTATAGAAGAACAGGATGATGGGAGTAAAGGGCAGGGTCCTAGCCTAGCTGGGTGAACCCTTTAGGGACTCTGGGGCATCCTCTTCCACTGTATCCCTTTGCAGACCCTGGAAGCTGTGAAAAGGAAGCAGTTTGAGAAGTACCATGCTGCTTCTGCAGAGGAACAGGCGACCATCGAACGCAACCCTTACACCATCTTCCATCAAGCACTGAAAAACTGTGAGCCTGTGATTGGGCTGGTACCCATCCTCAAGGGGGGCCATTTCTACCAGGTGAGTGGTCAGAGTGGGAAAGCAGGGCTGCTCATATGTGAAATGGTGGGGGTAGATTGGGGGTACTTAGAGTTGGACCAAGATTGATAGCTTTCTTGGGACTGCAGAGTGCCAAGGTCTTCTCATCTCAGTCCCATGGAATAAAGATTACAGGCAGAAGATGGAAGAGAGCCAAAAAAGTATCTAAATGACCTCTTTCGAAGGTTCACAGTACTTCCGCCATTGCCCCTTCTGTCCAGCATTCTGTGTTCCAAACTATAAGTTTCTGACGGTGAGGAGCTATGTTTATACCTCATCTTTATACATCAGTGTCTAACATAGTGTTTGACTGATGCTTCATCACGGTTTAACTGAACTAGGTGAAGTGAAGCATTAGTCGCTCAGTTATGTCCAACTCTTTGCGACCCCGTGGACTGGGGCTTGCCAGGCTCTTCTGTCCATGGGATTCTCCAGCCAAACTTATTGGAGTGGATTGCTATTTCCTTCTCCAGATCTTCCTGGCCCAGGGATCGAACTCGGGTCTGCTGCATTGCAGGCAGAGTCTTTACCATGTGAGCCACCAGGGAAGCTAGCATTTAATCACAGTTCATTGTCATAAGTGGTTGTTCTTTCCTTTCTTTTTTAAAAAATATATATATTTGTTTTGTCTTTCCTTTTTCAGTGTAAACCTCATAAGGGTAGAGACTTTCTTGATGCCTGTGTCCCTAGGGTCTGGTGAGAGACCTGTTTCTAGACACTCATGATGTGTGTTGGCTAAATCATGCCAGCTGACAGGGCTTTTCCCAGTGGTGCTTTTATCAACTTGGCTGAACTCCCTTTAGAGGTGAAGGAGGCCAGTGCTCAAGAAGTGTTTGTTTGATGAATGCCTGTGTCTGCTGCACTGAGGTCAGCCAGGGGCGAGAGGAGCTCAGAGAGGAGCAGTCAGGCCCTCCTCCTCAGCAGCCTTGCCAGGGCTGACCCCGAGTGGAGGTGTGGCTACTTATCAGAGCTCTGGCAGTCAGGAGGCTGCAGTCCTGGCAAGTTCTCAGACTGACTTGCCCTGTCCCGCCTTGCCCAGGTCCCCGTGCCGCTGGCTGACCGGCGTCGCCGCTTCCTGGCCATGAAGTGGATGATCGCCGAGTGTAGGGAGAAGAAGCCCCGGCGGATGCTGATGCCAGAGAAGCTGTCTCAGGAGCTGCTGGAGGCCTTCTACAGCCGGGGCCCTGTGATCAAGAGAAAGCACGACATGCACAAGATGGCCGAGGCCAACCGCGCGCTGGCCCACTACCGCTGGTGGTAGAGTGTGGGTGGGGGGTCTGGGAAGACGGCGCTGGCCCACTACCGCTGGTGGTAGAGTGTGGGCGGGGGGTCTGGGAAGACGGCAGCATGGTCTGCTGCCGGAACAGTGTGAGCACTGCGCCGCTGCAGAACGCCTGTGGGTTAAGGGCCGGCGGACCTCCTGACAAGCACGGAGCCGCACGTCCGTTGCCTGTTAGTCATTTCTCTAGGGGCTGGAACTTGCTCTCCCTGTCCCATCTTCTTGGAAAGAAGGGGCATATCAAGTTGGATTTCCTCCTAAGAAACCTAGGGCTCACCCAGCCTTCTCTTCCTTCAGCTTGGGGTGGACCTTTGGGTAATATGAAGAGAAGCAGTTTTAGTATCAGAAAGAGTTTATTAGAAAATTCTCGTCCTGAGCTGGTGTAACACATGATATGGTATTACGATTCATTAAAACCAACTGGAGGAAATACGCTTGGTTCTAAAGTGGTCCTTGTACAGAATGTATAAAAAGCAGTCACTGGTGTGACTCTGCCTGTCCCGTTTGATATCCCTAAGTGTCCCCACCAATGGCTCTGGGCGCCCATTTTACAGGTGGGGAAACTGAGGCACCAAGATAGCTATTGCACCGATGGTTCCACAGGGCAGTGCTTGTCAGGAGTTGCCCAGGTCAGAGGTGAGGGGAGAGAAAGGCTGGTGGGATTGCGGGGCAGGTGTGCTTCTGTCTTCCCCAATCCTGGAATCGGAGGGAAGGTGCTCAGGGCAGGACCACTGCATTAAGTGGGAAACATCTCGGGTGCTCCTGAAAGTCTGGAAGGGAAGTCGTCTTTGGCAGAGGTGAAGACTCCACTGCCAGGTTGGAAGGTGGGCAGAAGAAAGGCCGGCACCCCTGGGGAGGAAGCCTGGAGGCCTAGTCAGAGAGCTCGCTGTAGTAATATTTGTGGGCGGCCGGGGTGGTCTTCCAGCCGGCTGCCCGGAACTCGATGATCTCCAGCAGCAGCAGCTGGGCCAGGGAGCTGAGGCCAGCTGGGAGCAGGAAGCCATCCCGGATCAGGACAAAGAGCTCATCCATGCGCTGCCCGTTCATCTTCTCCAGCTGCTCCCCGACCCGATGCAGCTGCAGCACCAGGCAGTCCACCTGCAGGGGCAGCAGGAGGCGACCCCGACACGGGCCCCCTGTCACACACAGCAGCCATTTACTGAGCGCTCACTGTGCCAGGCTCTGGGCTCGGCCTGTGCACACGTTTCCCTGTTTCATCCTCACATGACCCGGTGGGCACTGTCTCTGCCTCACATGAGAGGAGCAAGCTCAGAGACTTGCCTCAGGCCTCTCACCGGGGCCAGGGTGGACACAGGCCCTGTTCCCAAATGCTTCTCAAGCCCACTCCCCCTGCCCCCCGCCCCGGGTTGGTTTCTGGGCCACCAGTATCCACAGCTGCTTTCCTACTGGGAACACAGCCTCTGAACCAGGAGGTCCTAGCTGCGCTGCGCTCCAGATAACCCCAGACCTAGCAGTCTGTCCTGTAACCCCGACAGGCCGTGAACACCCCCACCAGGTTCCTGCCCCACAAGTGAGTCTCCATGGACAGGGGCAGGCACTCCGAATTGAGCCCACCTCCGCAGTCTTTAGTGGCAGGGCCACTTACCTCCTCCTCCTTGCTCAGGCTGTCGGGCTGGGCCAGCCGGAAGAGGCAGTCGTATACGGGGTTCACCAGGGCCATCATGGGCATGTTGTTCACCTGCAAAGGGACAGCAGGGGCCAGAGCACTGGCTTAGTGGCGCAGGAGACAGGTGGGCCGCCTCTGCTGCACCGGGTGTGGCTGGCGGGGCCTCACCCTCAGGTAGTCAAAGATGTTGCAGATAAAGGTGACGTAGCAGACCCAGCCCTGCAGGGAGCGGGCGCGAAGCTGCTCCCGAGTCTGGTACTCCTGCTGCAGCCGGTTGAGGAGTCCACGGCGGAAGACACTCTGGCCTGCTTGCTTGCTCTCTGCCTGTGAGCCAGGGAGAGGGAAGGGCAGTCCCGGGGCCCAAGCTTCCCAGGCCGAGGCCCCTGCTGTCCTCCTCTCTTGCCTCTGAGGCCAGCCCTTTGCATCTCTGCCCTGCTGGCCTCTGCCCACTTCAGAAGCACCTTCCTCAAAGCGTCTCCCCTTCTCTACCAGCCCCACCCAACCTGAATGATGGCGTAGCACATGCGTCCTGCTTCCTTGCTGAACACACTGTCCTGCAGAGAATGGTCCACAATCACATTGGCCACTTTCTCCAAGTCCACGGCACCTGGATCTAGGGTAAAGACAGGTGGGGAGTCTAGAGCTGCTTAGTTATATATGCCTCCACCTGCTTCTAAAGGATTTGAGGTGTTCACTGAGGAGCACTCCCATTATATACTTCCACTGCTGGGAAAGACTGAGGGCAGGAGGAGAAGGGGACGACAGGGGATGAGACGGCTGGATGCCATCACCGACTCGATGGACATGAGTTTGGGTAATCTCCGGGAGTTGGTGATGGATAGGGAGGCCTGGCATGCTGCAGTTCATGGGGTCGCAGAGTCGGACACGACTGAGCAACTGAACTGAACTGAAAGAGGGAATTCCCCGGAGGTCCAGCGTTTAGGACTCTGCTTCCATTGCAGGGAGCGCTGGTTCGATCCCTGGTCAGGGAACTAATCCTGCAAGCCATGCAGTTTGGCCAAAAAAAAAAATAGAAAACAGGAACCATCACACAGGAGCAGCTGCGGCCATGAGCCACCTGGCGGCCCAATCAGAGAAAACAGGGTCATGTGACTGAGAAAGAGTCAAAGAGCGCTCAGTTTTTTTAGGACACGTCTTTTCCTGGCACTAGGTTGAAGATGGAACACTGACAACCACTTCATGGAAGAAGGTGTTCTTACAACACACACATGAACCCCTGACAAAAGTGGGCCAGGGAGGGCCTCTCTGCAGGCTTAGCTTGGCACGCTACGGGCATTGCTAATAGTTCGCTGAGTCAAACTTCTGTCCTGAGTGCTGCGGGAGGGCCTTGGCCCAGGACAGTTAGTGGAGCTCTTCTGCCAAGCAGAACACTCCATCTTCTGTCCCAAGTCATGCAGCTCCACATATTCAAGAGAGGGGCTACAGCAATGCAGAAACCAGGTCCAGCGTAAAGACTTAAGGGGCAGGAACTGGTTTTTCTGTGCCTCACCCTCCTTTCCTGGGTACTTTAAAAGCACTTTACAGTCTGAGGGGTGACTATGATCTATGATTCATACTTCCAAATACTAGCCTAAATGTCTTCCAGTTCCAGAATTATGTTGCGGACTCCTCTCAGAAAGTGAAGGGAGAGGGTGGCGCATTCCCAGGCTCAGCCCAGTTCTCTGGTCCTGTCCCCCTCTCTGGTGCTCTGGAGCAAGGCTCAGGGGGCTCCCCGTGCTCACCTTTGAGAGCTGTCTTCAGCAGCTGCTGGGTCTCTGCATCAAAACACTGGATTTTATACTCCTCTCTACCCGGCTCCCCCATGACTATCCAGCCGCAGCAGCTCTTTACTGGGGTGGGACTAAGGACAGCACCTGGGTGGGGGGAGAGGCGAATGGAGAGGTCTTAGGTGTGGAGCTCAGAGGCAGGGCTCCCAGCCCTATGGCCCCTGGATAGGGCTGGGCAGTCCATGGCATTCAGATGTTGGCTGGGTGCCCACCAAGCTTGGCTTCTGGTGGAGATTGGGCACCAGCCAGGCACCTGCTGCTCAGTTAAAGAATCCTGATAGTCTCTGGGATTACACAAGAGTAAAGAGATGAAGGGTGAATGTGTCTGCCCTCTAGTCTGCCTCAGGGTTATCCTTTGGGATACCAAAGCTGGGGTGGGGTCTTGTGCACTGAGATGTGGGGGTGGATGCGTGGATATCAGACACTTTCCACGCCTGTAGAAGACGACCTAGAAGCTACCGGTCCACCACGGCTCCCGGCGAGTGAGAGGGCCGGGGCTCCAGGCTGTGGGCATCTGTCCCAGCGGGGTTGCAAGCCCCTCTCCCCATCCCTCTCCCTTATGTCAGAATCCTCAGCCCAGAAAGCCCAGCCTCGGGCTGGGGCCGGCCAGAGGGCTGGGTGCCGCCTTGACTCCCCTTGTACCGGCCAGTTTCTCCCCGGGACGGACTGGTTAAACTGGCCTTCCAAGGGGCAGAAACCTGGTCCTGCCCTCTCACGAGGTGGGTAGTGCTGAGAGTCCTGAGCTCCATTCTGAGCCTTCTTCTTAAGGAGGGGAGAGAGGTGACGTGGCCCCCAAAGGTGGTCCCCGCTGGAGTCTCCCCTCCGGACTCGGCGCCTCCCCCCCCCCCCCCCCCCGGCCAAAGGAGCGGATCTTAAGGGTCTCCAGACCTGGGCAGCTTTCCTAAATCCGGAACGCCCTTCCCGGCGGCTCAGTGGAGCCCGCCGTCCGGTGTCCCGCGAGCTGTAGGGGTGGCGAGAGAGCCGGCGACCCACCTGCCGCGCCGGCGCCGCGCCCGCGTGCCCGGAGGCCGCTCGGCCGACATCGTGCGCGCGCCCAGCGTCCGCGGCGCTGCAGGCTGGGCCGCTGGCGCCTCGCCGCCGCTGAGGTCATTTCCTAGCGCTAGGGAGGGGCGGGGCCTCGGGCGGCGGGGCCGGGCCGGGCCGCTCACGAGCGCCCCCTGCCGGAGCCTCGACGACGCTGCCCTCGCCAGCTGGCCGCGCCAGCTCAGAGGTTCCAGACGTGGGACGGCGTAGGACGCCCGCGACACTTGCCCCCACCGCCCCCTTCCGCTCCTCACCTCGTTCTCCCCGGGCCTGTCCGGGACCACGCCGGCTCGCGGGCGCCAGGTCGGACCTGCTCGTCGGCCTGCGTGAAGCCCTCGGTCTTGAGCGGTCGCACCCACCCCGCCCCGCCCCACGCCGGGGCTGAAGTTAAAATGGGGTCAGGAGCCGGGCCCGGCCAGCGGCGTAGGAGGGGCCTGCGGTCCGCAGCTGGGCGGTAGGCGTGGGGAGCAAGGTGGAAGGGCAGAGCAGACGGCGGGAGGGGCCGGACCTCACAGGCGGTAGGCCCGGGCTCCCCGCCCCTCCGCCCCGACCCGAGGTAGAGAAAGCGAGGAAGCCGTCAGGTCTAGATTGAGTTCCACGAAGCACCCCCCCCACACACACACACACACCCCACTCCAAGTACGAACGGTATTGGTAAAATAAATTGACAATCAATGAACCAACCCAAGAGAAAGGGGTCCCTTTGCCAACTTTTGGTGCCCCAGGAGTTGGGAGTGACCCTGACATTGAGCTTCCCCGAGGGTTCAGACGGCAAAGAATCTGCCTGCAATGCAAGAGACCCAGGTTCATTCCCTGGGTGGGAAAGATCCCGTGGAGAAGGAAACGGCAGCCCACTCCAGTATTCTTGCCTGGAAAACCCCATGGACAGAGGAGCCTGGCGGGCTACAGTCCACTGCGTCACAGAGTCAGACATGACTGAGTAAACACATCCACATCTTGACTGATGGATGAGCAGGCGCCTGGCTCAGTCCGTCTTGGTCTGGGCCTGGGGAGACGTGTGGGCTCAGCAGCCCAGACAGGGCTAGGTCGGAGGTCAGCCCTGCGCCACAGGAAGGCATACAGGAGAAACTGGGAAAGAACTGCCTTTTCCTGTAGCTTGGACAAGAAAGATGTGTTGATGGTGATTTCTGTATCCAGGGCTCGCTTCTCCTGCTCACAGAGCTGCCAAAGTGGTCACCAGAAAAATGGATCAAGGAAGAGCACCTCAGCTGCCGAGAAAGAAAACCAGTGAGCGGAGAGCTGAAGAGAATAAAGTTTACTTCCATGGATATCAAAAAAATACATTCGGACAGCGGCCCCCTTGGGCAGCCGCAAGCCTTGACTGCCAGACACCCTCCAGCCACCTGTGGACCTTCATAGTCAGCAACCAAGGGCAGGGAGGCTCCAGGATTCCAGGTACCAGACCAGAGAGGACACAGTAATGTTGAGAAGGGGCCCAGGACCCCGGGAGAGCCTTGACGCCCACCACGGCTGCTCCTAGCTCCTGCCTTCCTCAGCCGTCAGTGCAAAGGCTGGAGCCAGAGTCGATGTGAGGTCAGGGGAGCAGCCCCTGCGTGGGGCTCTCCCTGCACAGCCAACCTCTAGGGCCATGCTCCCCAGCAGGTGGTTATTCTGTGATTCTCTTCTCCTTTCGTACCCCTGGCTGTGTCTAGACGTGGGCTCCTGTGCCTGGCAACTGCCGGGGCACCAAGTGTGTCCGCAGCAGGCAGCCTGCTCAACCCCTTCCTGCGGGGATTGCAGAGGATGCACCCAGTGCCATGCTGGACCCAGGCGCTCATGAGAGGGCAGCTGATGTCCACTGGCCCAGCTGTAAGCTCCTACCCACTCAGGAGGGCTAACCCAGGGTCCAGCGAAAGAGGAGTGATCCTGCGAGACTGAGGCAGAGGGCTGCTGCCTTTACCCACACCCCCGCCCCGTCGGCACACCCCCACTGCCGGTGGTGCCGCTGGGATCAGCTTTCCCTAGAGGCCCAGGGGCTGGGACCAGTCCCGCCCACGGAGAGAACAGCCTGAGTGGTGCCTTTATAGACACGGAGATCTGAGTATGGTGGAGTTTTTATATAGAGAGACCAATTCAGCTGGATTCTTCGCTTAGAACAAGCAGCAGAGCTGCCTGAGGGACACAGCAGCTGAGTGAAACAGAATGCAGGGAAGGCAGGACTCCCTTCCTCCAGCTTTGGGAGGAGGGATGTGATTTGGAAGGGACGGTGGAGGGGAAAGACTGCTTTCAGCTTTAATGTCCATTAAATAGGTGGTGGCAGTAAGCGTGGGGACCCTGTAAGGGGCCCAGTCCCAGCCTCACGCTCACCCTGCGGGCCCGCCCAGAGTCAGGAGGGCTCTCTGGGCAGCTGGGCTCAGCAGGAGGGCACCTGCTGCCCCGAGTGTCCACCAGACAGATGAGCACCCCGCTCCTCCTGACGGGCCTCCCGACGCTCTCCCCTGGAGAACCCCGGTGCCCTTCCGGTGGAATCCCGACGGCTCCTCGTGCCTGGGACAGCTGGTCTGGAGGGAAGGACCAGGCAGCGCCTCTCTGTGCAACAGGAGACTGTTGATTGAGTCTTCTTCCAGGAGGGGAAGACGTCAGGCCACCCTTCCTGCCCTCGCGGCTAGCTGTCTGCCTTCCTCATGTGATGGAATAAGTTACAGAAGAGCTCGTACCAGAAGAACACCAAGCCGGTGGAGAGGGCAGCCTTCAGCAGGCTGGGGGACAGGCCTTTGAAGCAGCCCTGTGCCCCCTCCTCTCGCAGCACCTGCCCGGCGCAGTCCAGGAGGCCCTTGTAGCTTCGCACCTGGGGAGAGGAAGGGTACCCTGGTTGAGGAGCGAGGAGGGGATGGACACGTGGATGTGGGCTCTGTTTTTCTGTCAACACAGGGCCTGGCACATCCAAGCTCCCAGCAGATAGTTGCTGGAAGAAGCAATGAATGCCAAGAAGATGGAAGAAGTGAACCTCATTCTTTCTCTTCCAGCTGGGCTAATTCAGGCTTGTGAGAGGAGGGGCGTGGAAATCAGCACTGGACAGAGCTCCTTCCTGCCGGGGAAGTTCCCACTGACGGAGGCTCTTCAGGACCAGTGAGAGCTCTGGACCCTCTTCCCAGGGGTGCTCTGACCGTGTGCCCCATCACTCCCTGCCCTCCTTGGGCAGTAGATCTGAATCTGGTCCTTGTGAGCTCTGAGCCTGACCGGTGTCACCAGGCTGCTCACCTCCAGTTGACCACAGACGGCTGCTGTGTCCCCAAGACACGGCTCAGCTCAAGCCTTGCTCAATCCCCAAAGCTCCAGGAACTCCGGACAATGATGATCAAGAATCTAGTCCAAGCCACGTGGCCTGGTGTTCAGGGCCTTCCACCATTTGCCCTCAACGTCCCTCCCGGATCTGCCTTTTATCTCCCACTGGTCCACTCACGGCGCCCCCGCCTCCAGCCACACCTCTCACCCTACATCTCCGTTGGGAGCAGGGCCTCCCTCCTGGGTCCTGGGCTCTCACCAGCTCTCCCTGTCCAAAGTCAAACCATCTCTTCAAACCAAGCTGGTAAGTGGAAAGAGGAGGTTATAAAACCTTGTGTACGACCCCAGTTTTTGTTAAAATGTCCATGTGTTTTCTTCTGCAAAGAAACAAAACGGCAATGTGGATGGACCTAGGGGGTGTTATGCTTAGTGAAATAAGTCAGAGAAAGACAAATAGTGTATGTTATCACTAATGTGTGGAATCCAAAAAAATAAACTACTGGTGACTACAGGGACGTGGGGAGGGGCAGGTGAGGGGTAGGGGATTAAGAGGTAGAAACCACTATAAAATAAATTACCAAAAATAAATAAATAAAAATAAAATAAATTACGTGGGACCTCCCTGGAGGTGCAGTGGTTAAGACTCCATGCTTCCACTGCAAGTGGTGAGGGTTTGATCCCTGGTTGAGGAACTGAGATTCCACGCAGAGCCAGGAAATAAAAATTAAATAAATAAGCAACATGGATATACTGGGCAGCACAGGGAAATGTGGCCATTATAATTTTAAGTGGAATATAAATTATAAAAATATTGAATCACTACGTTATACACCTGAAACTAACACAGAATTGCAAATCAAGTATAGGCAGTAAGAGGAAGAGACGGGGGAGAGGAAGAGACACAGAGAGAGAGAGAGGAAGGGAGAGAGAGAGATCCCGCAGCCAAAGGTTCCGTGTGATCCTCTTGGGGTGGGTGGTGTTGGATTTACCTGTGATTTCATCTTCCTTTTTGTCTAACTTCTCTGAAGTTTTCTACAAAGAAACTGTATTACAATTTGTAAACCCACTTCTTTTTCTCTCCCTGAGTAAGGCGTGCACTCTTCTCTTCCTGATTCCCATTCCACACCCTCTCGCTCCTCTGCCGTCTGTCAGGCACGTTTCTTCTTGCTGTGACATCCCAGGGTCCCAGGGTCCCAGGTTCCAGAGGGAAAACCTTGAAATCACCCAGCCCTGCCCTCCACTGCCCCACCACCTACCACCTTGGCCTTTCACAAAATCAGTGCCCCGCAAGAAGCAGATGAAAACCCAGTATGTGAAAATGGGAGCAGATTAAGGAATGACTGTTAACATTACAAAATTACCTACTACGAGGCTTCTCTGATGGCAAACCCTTCTAGTGCATTTAAAATATAATTTAGTTGGTCAGATTTAATTCACCCCTATCCTGGGATACCTACAGCATAAAAGCAAAGAACCCCATACACCAGTATGAGCCTCCTTCTCCGTGTTCTGTGATATCTTGGAGACCTTTCTTATGTGAGTAAACTCTTGGTCCCAAAACTAACTGAACACTTTGTAAGAACACAGTCCGAGTGTGCCTTCTCCTGGCTCTCTGCGTGGTGCCAGACACACGCAAGGCTTTGCCTGTGACTTCCCGTGTGCTCAGGGGTCCCCAGTGTGAGATAAAAATTCAGATTTCAGGGCAAGACAAGACAAATTTAAACATAAAAATTCTTCTCCGCTCTTCAGCCGCCCTCTCCCTGAACTGTGCATCACGTTATCTGTATTTTGTGTTGACCAGACCTTTCCCATAGGTGGGAATACCTGCCCAAGCATACAGAGCTACAGTCTCCCAGCATCGACAAGGCAACTCCTTAAAGATAACGTTCTTTCTTGAGCTCGTAAGGGGTCACGTGACCCACTATGATGGTGCTTAGATCCGGATTATGCAAAGGGTCAATAACATTTGATGCACAGCCCTCTATCTCAAAAAAACTTAATCAAAACTGTGTCTCAACATCTAGCAGGCAGGACAGTCCTCAGAGCTTTCTGAGATGCTCTTCCCATGTTATAATCCTCAATTTTTCCAATTCTTTCTTAGATCAACTTTTTTTTTTTTTTAAATATAGTACAAACATTGCATGAATTTGCTTGTCATCCTTGCACAGAGGCCATACTGATCTTCTCTGGATCATTCCAATTTTAGTGCATGTGCTCCCCAAAGCGAGCGCTGATTAAATTTCCATCGACACCAGGGCCAGGTTGGGGGTGAGAAGGCTGGGGGAGCTGAAGCTGCCTGATGGGCAGGTGCCGACCCTCGTTCCCTCACATGCCCGGTGAACAGCCAAGATCAGAGCTGTCTGCAGGGGGTACGGCTCACCTGGCCAAAGGAGGCTCGGGCCTGCTCAAACCCTCCGACCTGCAGCCGTTTCTTAAAGAGGTCTAGCGGGTACGTGAGGGTCTTGCTGATGACGCCAGCTCCGCTGCCACAAAGCAGGTTTTTGAAGTTCCCTGGACCAGAGATGTGGGATGGAGGGGGAAAAGGAGAGAAATGCAATCTAGGGTAAATTTCAAGGTTATACATTCTAATTCTGGGCCATAAAACAAAACCCTACAAGCATCCTCGATCTCAGAAGGATTTAACCCTGGAGTGAGAGAAACAGACGCAGTCCCTTTCATCAAGGATGACGACGAACTGCAGGTTGGACAGGCTGGTGGCAGAAGGGGTGTGAGCCTGGAACACGCGTCACCCCAGCGGGAGGCAATCGGGGCCTGCAGGCTCTGCCACGTGACCCAGGTCATGCTCGGGAGGGAACAGGATGCCCATGCCCCTCCCCGGCTTCCCCAAATGAAAACCAAACCAAACACATAAACAAAACCAGGCTGTCTGCAAGTTGGACCTTGGACAAAAATGAAAACCATGACCGGTGGCTGGAGATAACAGTGGCGAGAGCCGAGAGAAACAAAGTGATCTGTTTTGCTGGCTGCACTAGATCAGGGGGTTCAGAGGTCTGCAGTGTCCTAGCTGCTGCAGGAAAGCCTTCCTTCCTGACTCAGAAAGAGATGCTGTGGCTGGGGAGTGAAGGTGGGGAGGGGAAGCAAGACCCAGATCCCTTTGCCCGGGAGGGTGGTCTCACCGTTTTTCTTGCCTTCAGCTGGCAAGGCCCACTCGTAGGCACGCTTCAAGGAGCTGTAGATGGAGAACTGGAACCCCGCGTAGGGGAAGATGGCGATCAAGGTGGGGTTCAAGCCTTTGTAGAAGACCAAGGGGCCTTCGCTCCTGTACATGGTCACCACAGCATCTCGCAGGGTTTTATAGACCTGGACACGACATGTGTGATGACAAACGAGGTTATTTCAGCCCAAGAAGGCAGCCCACCAGGTATATTTCCCCGAGCTTAGAAACCAGCTACCAGGGGTGTTACTTCTTCTGCCAGGATGACAAAGAAAATGCTGGACCAAAATTCCAAGGGTGGGATTGCCCAGCGGCTCCCCTTTTGGCTGTTTACACCATGGGCTTCCCAAGGAGTGCGCAGAAATGTGCAGGACTGCGAAAGGTGTTAAGTCCACCCTTGGATGATCCATTTTATACTTTACAGCGTGCGTGCCTGCGTGCACAGTCGCATCTGACTCTTCTGTGACCCCGCGGACTATAGCCCACAAGGCTCCTCTGTTCATGGGATTTCCCAGGCAAGAATATGGGAGTGGGTACCCATTTCCTTCTCCAGGGGATCTTCCTAACCCAGGGATTGAACCCAAGTCTCCTGCATTGGTAGGCGGATTTTGTATCATTGAGCCACCCAGGAAACCTGTGCATATACTTAGCCCTTCTTAAACTGTCAACAGGCAATCTTTATGCATGGAGATTGCGGACAGTTTTTTTAAGCATACTTCTGTTGGACATACATTCTATTTTTTGCAGTGGTCCAGCGGGGCTGACTCTGCCTGCCTGTGGGTACCGCAAGGCACTGCACAGACCAAGGGTGACTGATGGAAAAGTCGCCCCAGGCAGGGAGGCCCTCTTCACACTTGCTCCCAGATGCTGGCAGCTATACTGAAGGCTTCCACCCTCGGAACTTGCACGAAAGGGCTGGGCCTCACAGGAAGGCCATTTGGTACTTGTTCTCTTTCCCCGCCAGGTTCTGTGTCCCCTCAGAGGCTCTGAGCACCCCGTCTGGTGCCGAGAGCAGTCACAGTTTCAGGGACAGGCTGAAGGACCTGAAGATCCCCGCCTCTGTCCCCCAGCTTTGTTCCCTCTAAGGCAAAGGGCCCCCACCCCTCACCTGCCCACCCCTCGGGCACCCCTTTTCTGACCTGGCCACTCACCCTGGGCTCACCCTGAGCCGCAAAGCGGGTGCGCAGCACGTCCACGGGGTGCACAGTGAGGGTGGCCACGCAGGCGGACAGGCCGCCGCACAGGAAGTGCACGGAGAAGTCACGGGCATCGCGCACGCTGGCACTGTGCACCAGCTCGGTCAGCACTTCAAACGACAAAAACTGCAAGGGTGCGTGACAGCGTCATGGATGAACACCCCCGGACGCCTCCCCTCCACCCCGTGACCAGGCAGGGCCCGACCCAGGGACCAGGAGACCTCTCCTTGAGCAGGGCCAGAATTCAATAAACGTGGAAACCTGTAGCCTTTCCCACCCTGAACAGAGCCAAACACCCAAGGGTTAAAGAAATAGGCGAGGGGGAGTTTTTATATCAGAAAATTCTACTCAGAAACTAGACTGTGAGTTGTCCAAAGTAACAGACAAGAGTTCACGATTTTAGGATTATCTCTGACATCCTTCAGCAGCTAAGAACTGGAGGGTGTTTTATTAAGTGGCTGAACAATGAATTGTATATTCAGCTCCTGGCATCATTCTATCATCTTGGATGCAAGTTAAAATAAACAAGCAAATAAGGGAGAAAAAAAAAAAACAGGAAAGAAAGAAAACTCTACTCAGGAATTCCCTGGTGGTCCAGTGGTTAGGACTCAGTGCTCTCGCTGCCAGGCCCTGGGTTCAATCCCTGATTGGGGAACTAGACTCCTGCAAACCATAGAGTGAGACCAAACAAAGAAAAAAAAAAAAAGAAAGGAAAGAAAATTCTATCCATTACTTAGTTTCCTGACAACTGAGAAAAGATGGTCATCGTCTGATTCTAGGCTGGGGACCCTTTCAGTACAGCCAGCTGTGGCCCTAGAGCTGAAATTTCATTGGGAGAATTCCATACATTCTATATTCCATGGTGGAAGCCCCCCTTGGGTTCAGATCCTTCTCCATCAAACTCACGGAAGCTCGGGGTGCTGAGAGCACACGTCACTGCGTGAACCCACAAGCGTGCAGCATCCGTGCGCTGGCTCAGGGCTAGAGCTGCAGGGCACGTGACCTGAGCGACCCCTGTGACGTCACAGGAAGAGCAGGCAGGGACAGCTTTGTTGCTGGCCGCCCGGCTGGAAGTCCTGGCTCGGCCACTCTCCACCTAGCGACTTTGGCTGGGCTAATTACTTTTCCTCTCTTGGCCTCTGTCTTCTCATCCGTAAAATGGGGGTGATGACAGAGCCTAGCGAAGGACTGCTGTGAGATGGTGGATGTGACATGCTTTGCCCAGGCCCCCAATTAGCATGGTGCAGGGTTGGCTATTTCATCACCACTTCTGCACAACTACGGACCACACACTGGGGGTAAACTGGCACTGAGCTGAACAAATGCGTGACTGACAGACAAGAAGCCTGGATCCTAACCCTAGCCTCACCACCTACGGGCTGTGTGGCCTCAGGCAGCTCGCTCAACCTCTCTGTGAGCCACGAAACACCTGCTCCACCTACCTCACAGTGCTGCTGGGAAGTTCAAAGGAAGCACAGACGTGAAAATGCTATTTTGAAAAATAAAAAGTGTTTGTACTGCCATCTGCCAAGCCCCTCTGGGCCTGGCATCAAGACAGTCTTCTGGACACAATGCTTCATGTTCTGTGAGTGCTAAGTCCCCAGGTTTGGGCAACATGGGGAAGGGGATGCTTCTGGTCCATGTCTTCAATTTGCCAGGCAGCTTCCCCACCAAGGCGAGTGGGAACTGTGTGCCCACCTCCTGTTGCCCTACCCTGGGCGGCCCAGGTACCCGCCCCACCACCCCAGGTCCCCCCACTGTGCAACGTGACCCCAGGGGCCTGGCCGCTTCCCCTGCCACCTACTTGGACAGCTCCATAGCCTATCGAGAGAAGCTGGGCTGGGATGTGCCCTTTCCAGAAGGCTGTTGGGCCCTCCTCTTGCAAAATCTGTCTCCCGGCCTGTAGGATTCCGTGGTACTTTGCATTGGGGTCACTGCGAGACAGGCGCTCAATCTGAAGCTAGGTATCAAAATGGAAACAGTCAGGATGATAGGGTTTGTGGGGGGTGGGAAGGAGGAATTTCAGAGATGGCAGTAAAGCGCTTCTCCTTCAAAACACTCCAAGCCCCAGGAACTGCTTTGGCAAAGAGAGTGAATTGCTTCTCTAGCCCATTACATGGATGAAACAGAGGAAAGGGTACCTGGAAGCGGATTTTGATGACATCCAAGGGGCTGATCAGCACCCGAGTGACAAGTCCGGACACAGACCCAGCCACGGCCACCTCAAGATTGGAGATATTCCTGTCGTCTGCTTTGGGGTCATAGCCCACCATCCCTGCCTCTGGCCCATACAACGTCCATTGGCTTCAAGCTAAACGGGAGAGACAAAGAATAAACACTTGGAGGACAGATCTCCTTTTTTCTATATGGATTGAATTCATTATGCCCCTCCCTCCCCGCCTCCCAAGCCCCAGCTAAAACTAAATATAATTTCCAAAGAGACTTCAGGGCTTCCCTGGTGGCTCACTGGTAAAGAATCTGCCTGCCAGTGCAGGAGACATGGGCTTGATCCCTGATCCGGGAAGACTGCACATACCGAGGAACAGCTAGGCTGGCGCACCACAATTTCTGAGCCTGTGCTCTAGAGCCTGGGAGCTGCAACTCCTGAGCCCACGTGCTGCAACGACTGAAGCCCGCAGCCCTAGAGCCCGTGCTCCACAAGAGAAGCCACGGCAGTGAGAAGCCCACGCCCGGCAATGAAGAGCAGCCCCTGCTCGCTGCAAGCAGAGAAAGCCCATGTGCAGCAATCAAGACCCAGCACAGCCAAAAATTGAATATATAAACTAAAAAATTATTTTAAAAAAAGGAGAGAGAGACTTCAGAATTAACCTAGTTCTTGAATACCTTGTGGCAAGGCTGGTAAAGAATCCGCCTGCAATGCGGGAAACCTGGGTTTGATCCCTAGGTTGGGAAAAGCCCCTGGAGAAGGGAAAGGCTACCCACTCTGAGTGACTGAGTGACTTTCGCTTTCGCTTTTGAATACTTTCAAGAACAGGAGAGTCAGGGTGCACACAGTGACCCCTTCACCCCACTATTGTCTGTTTTTCTCCTTTCATCCTTCCTCAGCCCCAAGTCCTCACTTTTCTGAAACTAACAAAATTCCTCCTTAAAATTAACAAGGCACATCCGTGGGGCTCGACCGGCAACGTATTGTAAAATAATATCTTATTCAAGGTCTAATGGGGGACTTCCCCGGCAGTCCAGTGGTTAGGGCTCGGCACATCCACGGGCGGGGCCCAGGTCTGATCCCTGACTGGGAACTAAGATCCTGCAAGCCTTGCAGCGTGACGAGAAAAACAAAACCAAAAAACAATGGTATGAAGCCTCCCAATCCCTGCCAGGAATGTGCCTGCCCCTTGGTAACTTTTCCCCAGACCCTCAAAGGAGACCTCGGTTTTCCCATCGAGTTCTCTTTGGTGCTAACTCAAGCTGCAACTCCCCAGGCACCTGTAAGGAGCAGTTTAAATGTGAAGCAGGTGACTGAGAGGCACCGTCTCTCCACAGGTTACCCAGAGGCTGCTTGGGTCACACCGAACAGTGTCAGTTCCCTGCTATCAGGGAGGGAAGGTGGCATTTCTATAAATAAGTAGCTCTGCATAGCTGGTCATAATCTTAAACCTCAGATCAAGAAGCCTGAGCTCAAATTTCTGACTCGCTCATGTACCGTGGGCAGGTTTATGTAAGCTAGGCTCAGTTTTTCTTCTGGAAAATGGGAATGATGGCGGCCCCACCTAGCGAGATTCCTGGGAGGATCACACAAGATACTATATATGCTTCGACAAAGGAGGCAAGGATATACAATGGAAAAAAGATAACCTCTTTAACAAGTGGTGCTGGGAAAACTGGTCAACCATCTGTAAAAGAATGAAACTAGAACACTTTCTAACACCATACACAAAAATAAACTCAAAATGGATTAAAGATCTAAATGTAAGACCAGAAACTATCAAACTCCTAGAGGAGAACATAGGCAAAACACTCT